ATAATAACCACGAAGGAAATGCCATTTTCGTTTGCCTCCCTGCTCCCCACTAGGTTTCGTATAGTTTTTGATTGATGTGAAAAAATGGAATTTGGGTTTTCCTTTTCACTAATTTTAACCTAGATTTCCTGTATAGATCTATAAATAGTGTAGTACTATTTTATAGTAAACTGAAAAGTTCTGGTTAATTTATTGCTGAAGTCTTCCAGATTATACACAGATTGTATTTGTGGTTTAAAATATGTCCTTTGCCTCTATAGAGGTTTGTGGAAACTTAGGTGAGATGCAGCTTTCAGAAGATAGTGAAAGCCTACGGGAGAACATGTTTTCTTTATTTTCCTGTCAACACTGGAAGAATGAATAGGAGTTGTAATTTACTCTGATGACACGGTAGCTACCGTCCACGTCTCCAGTCAGTCGTCCAGCTCTCTGTAAATATTGCCTGGGCATCATCTGACACGGGTGGGGGCACATCCATAAACATTGGCCTACACACATCATTAGCCATGGAATTGGTGTGAGTTTATTTACGTGAAATGCTGTTATAAAAATAAGCCACAGTTTTACTGTTAGAATACAGAATGTCTAAGATCCTCAAATATGTACCTAGTTAGAAGGACTAAAGCTCATCTCTAAGTCCTTTATTAGGAAAGATAGTCCATTACCTACTTTTTTTTTTAGATACAGTGTATAAAATAATAATGCATTTTGAGAATTGTTTTGTGTTCTTTAATAATGTGAAGGATTCATGTATTACTGGTAGAAAAGGTTAAGCCATAGTTATAATCAAGAGTCTCCAGATGAGACACTATCTCTGGTAGATATTTTTCTTAATGACCACTAAACTGGTAGTGTTACAATTTTTTGGTAATGTGTTTGGCATATGAATTTTCTTTCTTTTTAAAAAAAAAAATTTTTTTAATGTTTACTTTTGAGAGAGAGAGTGCAAGTGTGGGAGGGGCAGAGAGAGGGAGACACAGAATCAGAAGCAGGCTCCAGGCTCTGAGCTGTCAGCACAGAGCCCGACGCAGGGCTCAGACTCACAAACCGTGAGATTATGGCCTGAGCTGAAGTCGGATGCTTAACGGACTGAGCCACCCAGGCGCCCCTGGCATATGAATTTTCTATGTTCTAGATGTTCTAGTGCCAACATTTGAAGACATTACAGTGTCCTCAGTTTTTCTTATGTCCTTGAAATTTTACTATGTTATATCTAGAAATAGTTCAATCCTTTTGGAACATCTCAAGTTCAATTAAACTTTCAGATTCGAATATTCTGTTAAAATAAATTAATTTGACTATGTTAAATGAAAGTGTAAAGAACTCGTATGTATTTGTTAGAAATATATGTTCCATTTGCATTAGTAGAAATTTATAGATTTAGAGATTACTCCCTAAGAGAAAGCAAAATATACTTGTTCTGATCTGCATTCTAGGGGGAAAAAAGATGAGGTCGTTTTCCTAATGTTATTGTGGCTTATTTAAGATCTTCTGAAAGGCCCAAAAAAGTACCTTTCAGTTATAGGACAGTTGATTTATTCATTAAAGGTGAGGATTTTTTGAAATTATTTGAGTTTTGCCTTTTTTGGCATTTTGAGAAAAACTATCTTCTGTAGCATGAAGTTACAGCTTTTTAATAGTGACCAGTTTAGTACAGCAAGGATCATCGTACTGTTATAGAAAGTATCATAGGCACATATTTTTCTGTATCTTTCTGGGCAAGTTTCTCTTCTAGTCCTAAGATTTTTTGGGTTCCTATTCAAAGTGGATAGGTAGAAAACATTTATGTTTTTTGTATGGTTCTCTTAGTAAATGTATTCTGAGGACTGTCATAGGTGATGGAGATACATTTAAAATTCAGAAGAAATATTCACAGAAATAGAAAGGAATACCAGGGGAATGTTTCAAAGGGAAACCTGTATTAAGGAGAAAGTATTTGAAGTGCCTCGTCAGAGATTATAAGCAGAAGGGTATTTGTTTAGTATCTTTAGTTTATGTGGCTGTTGAAATACACACGCCCCTACACATAAATAAAAGAAATATTGCGCTATTTTACATTTATTTTGGGCTAAATCTTTGAAATCCCGTGTGAATTTTATCCTCACAGTACAGCTCAATTTGGACTAGCTGCATTTTAATGGCTCAGTATCCACACGTGGCTAGTGACGACCATCTTGGCTCCCCTGTGGTTCTAGATTGTCCTGTCTCAACTTGGCATTTCTCAGGGAGCCTTTCTCCGATTCCCTAGGTCTATTTCCTTTCGTCCTTAGTCTTATGGAATCATATTCCTTTCCTTTAGAGCATTTATTATAGCTGTAAATCTGTATTAGTGACATTCTTTGATTCTTGTCTCTTCCACTAGATGTAGGCTTGAGTGTTTCCCATTCTGTTTCCAATCTTTACACACAACTGGGCTCGATAAATAATATTTCACTTAATGAATTGTGCTTCTTAGGAAATTTGACCAGAATCACACCTTTGATTTTAGAATCAGGCACTAAATTATTTCTAATTAATTTTGCTTGGATGAGGACGGATAAACTGTCACTAATCTGAGAAGTGGTCTTAATCGTAAGTTGTGTACTCGTAATGGTGTTGTCTTAAGTAATAGTTCTGTAAGTTACCGTGCATTTTTAACAAATAGGAAGCTTTTTAAACCGTAAGCATATTTTTTAAGTTGATTTAATAGACTTGATAAAAGAGGTTTAATAATTTAATTTTTAAAATACAAATTCCCAAAAAATAAGACTGACTTAAATTATCATAAAATTAAATTATTAAAGATGAATTTTTATAAGAATAAAGATTTTTAGATTTCAGTGAAAATAGTCTAATGTTTTCTTGTTAAAGAATGCTTACTGTGAGTTTGGTAGAATGATTAAACCACATGATCCACAGTATCTTATACTTAAAAGTCAAGAAACTATACGTTGGCCATATTTTAGGCAATCATAGGTCATACCATAATCTTGAGTTTAAAAGGAATTTAAGCATGGCCCTAACCTAGGTGCACTTTTATGTGTACCATGCTAGTAGGAAGAATGAGATACTGTTAAAATAGAGTTGGGTAAGATTTCATTACCTGAACTGTGATTTCAATACTTGAACTGTGTCTTGAGGGGATGGTAGGCATTTATCAAGGGAAGGAGAGAGGGAAGGTATTTCAGTCAAAGGAGCAGCATGTACCCAGCTACAGGATTTCCAAACAATTCGTGCTAGTTCCTCTAAGCAACTAGAAGCACACACAGTTGACTCTTGAACAACATGGGCTTAAACTGTGCAGGACGGCTTAAATGCAGATTTTAGTACGGTACTATACATGTATTTTCTCTTACTTATTTTCTTAATATTTTCTTTTCTCTAGCTTACTTTTTTGTAAGAATACAGTATGAAGTACATGTAACTAAAAAGTGCTAGTCATCCGTTTATGTTATCATTGTGAGGCCTCCGGTCAACAGTAGTTTGTTAGTAGTTAAGTTTTGGGGGAGTCGTAAGTTATACTCGGATGTTTGACAGCAGGGAGGGGGTCAGCACCTCTAACCTCCGCCTTGTTCAAGGGTCAACTGTAATTCAGTTTGGCTACAACATAGTATGTGTGTGTGGGGGGGTGGGGGGGGCAGTGAGGGGGAAGAGCAGGGAAGGCAGAAGCAGGAAATGAATCTGGCAGGACAACTTGATGGTAGAGTCATAAAGAGCCCCATGTGGCATTCTAAGGAGCTTCACTCCGTCCTCTGCAGTAGGGAGCAAAATGATGGAGGGGAGACCTGAGAAGTGTGAGCAGCGAGGAGGCAGTTACAGTGAAAGAAATAATGGGGCATGGACTCTACCCTAGTGTGGGGGTATGGGGAAGAGAGGGTACACTGATAAGTCATCCCATCCCAACTCCTCAACCCTTCCCACCCCACCTCTAAGCCTCCACTAAGAAGGTAGGGGACCAAAGACAGGGCATAGTTCTGGTAAACTCTTCTTTAAACATTAGTGAATATAACGTGTCTGTTGTTTAGTGAATTTTAATGAAAGGTTGTTATGTAATAAGTCTATTAATTAGCAAAGGACAGGATATGTTTTACAAAGTAGAAATGATTATGATTCAATCTTTGTCATTTTTTACCGCATGCCGAAACTTTTAACATGGATTATTCCATCCTCAAATAATAGCCCGAGTTTTACGTGTGGTCATATTAACGTTAATCAACTTAAAAGTAAAAGGATATTCCATGAATTAGTTTTCTAAAAGATTATAGGTTTTATTAGTGCGTTGGGTTTTAATTAATGTTATACGTTAGAAACTATTTACAGATTTGTTACACCTTAAGGAATAAAGTAGGAGTCTAAATAGGATAGTTGTAAAAGCATAACTCTCTATACCATGAACCAACACTGTAACCAGGAACAGGCGGCCTGGACAAGATGCCTTTGCTTTGAAGCCCTATCTCCTTCTGTTGCATAGGGAGATCCCAGGGGCCAAAGCAGCAGTCACATAACAGCCCTGTAACGTAGCTTTGCTAAAATCTCCCTAATCATAGTGGTTGCTGAAGTGCGTCCTTTCCTGACGAAACTTTGCCACTGTTAGCCACGGCAGAAATGTCAAACAGAGATGTGGACTGCACGAGCCCTTTTCGTGGCCGCTGGCCCATAGGCCTTTTTTCTTTTTTTTTTTGGAAAGGACAGTGGAAGGTGAACTTAGTGTATATCACTTGTGGGGCATCACAAGATTGGTATCATGAGGAGCTTTTCCTTATGCTCGTTTTTTAAGCCCTAAGTGAAGTTTCAGTATGGCAAAAAAAACAGGTTGTTTTAAAAATGTGAATTATATCATTGATAATAAAACTATATATTTGATCAGTTTAACTTCATAAATATGATATTTAAATCAAATCTCCTGATATTTTATCCTTAATTTTGGTAACTTCACTATTTCAAAGAAGTGGATTATGTTAATTTTTTTAGATTTAACCTTTTGTTTAAATGAATTAAAAGATATTTGTTTTTTCGTGCAGATTTGAGTTCTGTGAACCCGCATTTGTGGTTGGTAATTGCCTCCAGATAGCGTCTGACAGTCATCAGTATGACCGCATTTATTGTGGGGCTGGTGTCCAGAAGGACCATGAAAACTACATGAAAATCTTACTGAAAGTTGGAGGCATTCTGGTCATGCCTATAGAAGATCAGGTAACTTCTACTGTCCTTTGCTTAAGCACGTTAGTTTAAGGTGGGAAATGTTCTATCAGTGAAAAGTAGGCTGTGATTTTTAAGGAAGCAGTACTCTTCACAGATCTAGCTATAAAAACAACAAAAACAAAACCTTGAAACAGACTCTTGAACCAAAGCAGATACAGAAGAGATCCTTCTACTAGGGTTTGAAGAGATTTTTGTCTCCCCAGAGCTTAGCCTATGTGATGTTTGCCAAGTTGCTTCCTCCCACAGTTTTTGTACCCAGAGCTGTTCAGTTGGGTGTGAAGATCTCTACCAGCCACTCAGTTTCCAACATTCTTTAGTTCTTTGAGCGTAGAAAAGAGAAATTCTATTTGGGGTTTGGTTTGGACTGCTTAAATCCGTTAAAGAAACAAGTAAATTTTTAAATCTTGATTTAGTATGACATAGACTCATTCGAAAATATTTTTTCAGTTATTTATCTGCCTTCGGTTTGGAATTATTAGGGATAGTAAGTGTATGAAATACTAATGTATTCAGGAAATGGGTGGATCTTTCAAAAGGAAATTACTTTAAAAATTTATAAACATGGAGCGACCTGGGTGGCTCAGGCGGGTAAGTGTCTGACTCGATTTCAGCTCAGGTCACGATCTCACGGTCATGACCTCAACCCCTGTGGAGCCTGCTGGAGATTCTCTCTCTCCACCTCCCTCTGCCCCTCCCCTGCTTGCGCTTTGCTCACACGTGTGCTCTCTCTCTCTCTCAAAAAAAAAATTTTTATAAAAATGCGTTTCAAAACAAATCCTTAATATTCATATTAACCTAAATTTGAGATGTTTAAAACGCCTTGTGGTTTACACGGTAGGAGATAAATTATATAAAACAACTGGGACCTTGCCTCATCATTTTGGAGTTTATAATCTTGGGGGAGGGGGTCCCTTAACATCACAGCATGTTATTTGCAACTCAGTAGACTTCACCATTACCATGCACTAAGCTCTGTAGCAAATTGTTTGTCCGTAATTAAAAAGACATAATATAAAAACATTCATTAAAAAACATTCCTGGAAAAACATTGTTACTTGAATGCTTCCAGAGTTGAGACTCCCAGATGAACAATCTTCTGTTATCTGTTGAAAATACCTTTCCAAATATTTTTAAGATAGGGCTTCCCATTGGTATTTTATTAAATATTAATTATATACTATCATCCGAATGTCAAATGGGCTTATTTTTATAATAGAAATTGAAGATGTTAATTCAGCTTGATCAAGCCATGTACTGAGCTAGTTGTTTTTTTCCCAAGGACTGGGGATGAGTTTTTGCCAGGTAGGTAAAACTTGTAATGCTCTTGTGATTAATTACGTTTATTTGTGAAGTACTAAGTTGCGATTAGAATTAGAATCTGCATTTTATGACCATCACGGGCAACCATGAAGTTGACTCATTGGTACAGTAATCAGAACGTGGTTTTATTAATGCTTTATACAATGCTTTAACCAAACAACTGAACCTATGTGAGGCATCTAATTTGGGATCCACTGGCAGACGTGGGTTGGAATGAGACCCCTAGAAGGTATCAGACCCCAACTATAACATGATGGGTCACTTGACCATATTTGGATATTCTATATACATTGATTTATCTATCTTGAGCTGCAAATATTTGTGATTTCTTCTGTATTATTTTATGGCAAGTATTTAAACGATAGCAATTTGGTTGCATTCAAGTACAGGTGATTATATAGCAACCATTGGCAGTTATTCCATGAAAACAAAATTGTGACTGTAAGGCGATCGCATTTCCAGGATTAAGCTATTCTGTTTCTGTGTTTTCCTCCAAATAGTTAACACAAATTATGCGAACTGGACAAAACACTTGGGAAAGTAAAAATATCCTTGCTGTTTCGTTTGCTCCACTTGTACAACCAAGTAAGAATGATAATGGCAAACCAGATTCTGTAGGACTCCGTAAGTAACTGTTGGTCCTTTCCGACCGAACCGTGACTGTTGTTAAACTCTTATGGTTGGGATTTAATGGACTATATGATTATGAAAAAGCAAATAAACATGCAGTTATATATTCAACAGATTTATTCAGCTTTTTTGTGGGGGTGGGTTAAAACCCCTACCTTGCACCAGACACAGTTAGCTGCCTTCATGGACATAGGAAAAGAAGGGGCAGGTCAAAGAAATCATGAATTTATTAATTATAGCTGTGACTTTACTAATTATATTAAATTTGTTGTCATTTTCTACACAGAAGGATGACAAACACAACAGCCTTTATTTGAGCTGAAAAGAGCTTGGTTGTTCTAAGACCAGAAACAAGTTTCAGGGTAGTCGAAGTTGGTTGGCTAGCGTATAGAAGATAGATTATATACAGGGCTTTCCTTATCAAAGGTAAAGTCAGTGTTGGTTGTGGATAGACTTGTTCGAAGGTAGAAAAATAGTAGACTGAATTGTAGGCGGTGGTAGAGAGAAAAAGAAGGATGGAGAGTTTGGCCTTGAGCGGCTAGCTGAGTGGTGGTACCATTTATTGCTGTTTGCAGGACTGGCGATGGAATAGTTTGGAAACAGGTGTAGGAAGATCAGGTATTTTATTCTGGCCGTGTTCGAGTTTCCTGTTGGCATGCACGTGGCAGGTAGTCAAGTGGTTGTAAACCCACTGCACAAGGGGAGGTGTAAATTGGGAATCCTCAACCTAAAAATGGCATTTTCAGCTGTGAGAATGGATGAGAGCACTTGGGGGAGAGTGAGGAGAGAGAAGAGGTGCTTGTGTTGGAAATCATGAAAAAAACAGTATTTCAAGAAGGAGGAAGTAATAAACTTACTGCAGCTGAAAGTAGAAACAGAGGGAAGAGTAATATTAATTGGCTTGTGATATAGCATGATTTTGGAAATCGGTGAGTAAGTTCCTTCCCAAAAGTGAACTAACTTTACCATGGTAGACTTCTTGCTTTAACTTGCTTTTTAAATGAATATATTTCAAAGGAACCTGGCTTTACATGTAACTTTATTTTCATTGTTTATTTTACCCTCTTGTGAGCTACGTGGTTTTTGTGGCCTGTTTTTCCCTCTTCCACGTTCTTCCCAATGGAGAGAAGGATTTGGCGGTCAGATAGCTAGGAATTGAAACGTCATTTTTATCACCTACTAAAGGAGTAGGGGCGGAATATGGCTCAGGTCCGCACCCTTAAGTTAGACTATCCACGCAGCCACAGGCAGTAGTGGCCAGCCTCCCGTCGTGTGGGCTCGCTCCGTAAATGCAGGGGAGCAGAGCTTCATGTGTGGGTGAGCGGAGGAAAAGACCAGGGAAAGGCCACACGTGGACAGCTGCTTCGCACGCACGAACCATACAGACCACTCCTCCTGCCGTGGGGACGAAGGTATGTGGTGGTGCAGACAGACCCATGTGGTTCTGTGGTAAGGGGCAGTGAGCGGCAGGGGGGGGGGTCTCTTCCCTAGACCCCGGGAGAGGGCTTCCTAGCGTTCTTTTGTAACGGGAGCTGCCATCAGAGAGACCTGTTGACCACTCTTTCCAGATTCACAAGATGCATCAATTCTGACACAGTGCTCTCACTTTAATCTCATTTAGAAAGAAATCAGGCTCTCAGTTCAAAAAAAAAAATTGAACCTTTCACAATTCGGAAAGTGTTAATCAGCCATTTTTTCCAAACGTACTTTTTGCTGTTGTACGTTACTTACAAAATTGAGTCAATCTACACAACAGAGCGACATAAGACGATTACATAAGAAAACTTGAGTATATAGAAAATTGAAAATAAGAATGATTAAAAAAAGGATTATCAAAAAGATCCATTCTGTTAGTAAAGTTACTCTGCTGGAATGTTGAATTTAAACTTCCTTCCTGTCTGTTCAGAGACACGTGCTAGATGTATTCTGGGACTGAAAGGGACTGTGGTGCTAGGAACACCAGAATCAAGTAACTGTCACTTGTATTCACATGCATTGTACAGTTATTTCAAAGTATACTTTTTGGTAGACCATACACACACATTCCCTTGTATATATAGGTGTATGTATATACCATATACTACATACTATAATATTTAGTAGACCATACCGTACTAAGATCATTGAATATTTCAACTCCTTGCTAAAAGCAATAACTAAAAGCAATAATAATAATAACAAAGTAAAACTACTTTTTCCCTCCTGTTTTCCAAATATCAGAATTACAGGTCATATTTATGACCATTTTCGTTAACCTATCATAACAGGTTAGAGAGTCACAAAAAAGAAGTAATGAAAAAAATTCTGTGACACGGTGGCCTAACCACATATGTAATAATGTATATCTGTAAAGATATATAAGTGTCCTTATAGAGGTCCCTGTGGACTTCTGTGCATCAGCCATTTAGGTGTTTCACTTTCTCATGGAGACTGTTGTAGCCCGAGACATTCCTCTTTATCTGACAGTTTCCCTAGTTTAGTGTCCTTTAGAGGAGTCTAGTTTGTAAATGTGGTTTTGCAGTAACACAGTTACAAATGGGCAATTTTCATTCTTTCTCATTTTAAAGATGTCCATACAGTACAGCTCTAGGTAGTTAATAAGACTATCCTCTGTGGGTTGATGGACATAACTGTGAATGTAAAGTAGGGGCATAAATTTGGTTGAAAGGGATAAAAGGGGGAAGAGCCTAAATTTAAAAAAAAAAAAAAAATCTGTCATACGTGTGAAATACTTACAGGTGAAATGATCTATCCAAATTTGTCATCACAATCGTCTGTGATGGATTTGGGAGGAAGAAATGGGAGTGTGGTAAGATTAGCTGTATGCTGAGGGTTCAAGCTGAGTGGTACATGGGGTTCGTTACACTATTACTCACTTGTATACATACTCGAAAGTCTCTACAATAAAAGGGAAAAAAAATCATCAGCTCCCAATAGCATAAAAATGAGCCAGGAATTACGATTTTGTAAAAAAATAAAAGCCTTTTTATGAATAATGTTCACAGAAAGAAAAAGTTCTGAAGATACTGTTTGTCAAAACTTAATAGGATGTTTGGAAAATAAGAACAAGTTTCTTCTGTTAAAATTGCTGATTAGAGAACATTATTTCATTAATTATAGGGGATTAAGTTACGAAAGAATGTTAGCAAAAAAAGAGAACTAAAAAAATACACATGCAAATCTCTGGCAAGTGTATTTTGTAGCTATGAAATTGCCTATATAAATAGTTACTAAAATGTAGTTAGAATTTTCCTCAGGTTTATCACTACTTTTGATTCAGTTCACATCTTCTTTCCTTTGTTCGCGGGGTGGTATGCAACATTCTAAAGGAGCTGCTTCAAGTTCAGGTGGGCCCTTTAGAAGGGGAAAAGGAAAAAGGGAAAAATTCTATACCAACTTAGGCAAAACTTTCCTCCATACACCACCCACTAGATACTTCATCTCTCAGACATGTGGGTTTTTCCACCCCAAGGAATTCTCGAATTCTTTGTGGACACCAACTAGGTGTCCTGTGATCTGACCCCTCGTGTCACTAACCACTGTTCGCATAGACCCCGAAGGTTAAAGGGCTTGTACGAGGCTGCCGCCATCTCCTCCAACTTGAGCCCCCAGCCACAGGTACACGTTTTCACCCGTGTTTCGTCAGCCTGGCTGTAAATCAGGAACTCCCGTGACCCCTTTCTGGAATTCAGTAATTTGTTGGAGTGTCTCACAGAACCCAAGAAAACAGTTCACTTACTGGATTACGGGGTTTAGTGTAACAGGGGCCAGCACAGAAACAGCCGGCTGGAATCGAGGCACAGAGGGTTTGTGGGAAGGACCCAGCTTCCGCGCCTCCTCTGAGGGCCCTTCTGGCACTTGCACGTGTTCATCAGCCCGGAAGCTCTCCGAACCCTTGCAGTGAAGGCTGTTTATGGAGGTTTGATTGATTAAGTCATTGGCCATTTACGACCGACTCAACCTGCAGCCCCTCGTCCCCTCCCAGAGGGTGCTGGTGAAAGTTCCAGTCCTCTGGCAACCAGCCCACTCACTCAGGGGCTTACCAAAAGTTGCCTTATTAGCATAAACCCAGGGGTGCTTGAAAGGAACCTGTTATGCCCTTATTACTTAGGTAACTCCCAGGTGTCTTCAGAGCTCTGTCAGGAATGCAAAGCCAAATGTATGCTTCTTGTTAAAAATCTCAAGGGGCAAGAGACTTCATAAATTGTGGCAACAGTTATGTGGCCACTTATAGAAGCTGCTGTTTTTGTAGGTTCAAAAGTGGCCCCGAATCAATGCTTTTGTGAGATTGGCCTAAATATAATGCCCTTTTCAGTCTTTGTTAATAAAAACGAAAGTGCTGACTGCTAGGTTCCCGTGAAATCTTTGCAGAGACTACCTTTTGGGAAACAAATAGAGCTTCCGTGTGCGTGTTAGAGATAACCTTAATGATAATTTTGGAGTGAAAGCTTTGATTCAAAATAAAGTTTTAATAGTAGTCAGGGTAAGTATCAAATCCTTAACTCATAACTGGAAGCATTACAAACAAGGGAGTGTTAAAGAATAGAAAATACGGGGGGATTTTGAATACTTTCAATTCTGAGAATTACCTAAAAGTTTGTGTATCATTTAGACAAACTTTACATGAAGCTCTTGTGGGTGCTATTTTAGGACTTAAGTCTGAATCTTTTTCCATTCTGGGTCTGGTTGGTTCTTTATGAAGTGAGGTATTCTGACAGTTTAGGATTGAAAGGTTCATCATTCTAACAGTGTCCTTGGAATAGCAGTGTTGGCAGAGGACGAACATAATTCGGGTGTTAAAAGAGAATACCGAAAATGAGGGCGGGGTGCAAGAACAAAGACCAGCTGTAAAAGACTAATTATAGCTCTATTTCTTAGCTCTTTTATTAAAATTCCCAAGACTCTTTTATAGATTTATTCTCCACCAGCCTCCCCCACCCCTGCTTTTTCAGTGTTCACTCAGGCACAGGTTTCTTCTGTGTCCACACTCCCCCTTGGGTGCTCGCCAGAGGCTGTTGGCTCTCAGATTTCTGTCCCCAGCCCTGGCCTCGCCCCTGAGTCCCAGACACATGATTCAGCTGCTTGCGGTTGGGCAGGAGCAGAGACCGTGCAGTGAAAACGCCCACGTTCAGGTCCCACCTCCTGTCACCTACAACCTCTGTGACCGAGACCAAGTTATTTCACTTCTGTCTACTTCCTTTTCCCCAGCGCTAAGTGTGCTGTTGCCTGTAACACGCGGAGATGGTGGTCACTGTTGTTTTCCTTTCTGAAACCTTCTTCCAGGAGATGTTCACAGACATTCCAGATTTCATACGGAACAGAGTTTTGATTTTCTCCTCCCCAGCTACTCTTCCTCTTTGTCGTGTCACTAATTGACAGTCGCATCTACCAAGCTGCCTGGGCCAAAAACGCTCCCACATCCAGTGCCCGTCCAGCCTGCTTTCAAAGTGTGTTTCAGACTTGTCCATTTCTCTACGTCTTTACTGCCAACCTCCCTTACTCTAATCTGCATCACAGTGTGGTCAGATCTCAGGTGGATTACTGGAGTATTCCCGCTGGGCTCCTGCTCCCTCTCTTTATGATCCATACTCCACAGCGGACCCTCAGTGCCATTTTCATCGCATTATGACCCTGCCTTTTTAAAACCCTTGATATAAGGCACATTTTTTTACCAGGGCCTGTAAGATCACCCCTGATCACCTCCGTTACTGTTTGCTTCCTGCTCTAAACTTCATTGACACCAGCCTTCTTTCAGCTCTTTGAACGTGCTAAGCTTATTCACCTTCTAGTGTTTTTCGCCATTCCCTGTGCATGAAGCTATTCACAGACGGCTGTTTCTTCGTATCGTCTAGATGTTAGCTCAGACACGCCTCTCCTAGGGGAGACCACTGGGACTACCCAGTCGGAAGTAGCCATAACCCCATGTTACTTTGTACGTCATTGGTGTTTTTTCTCATATCTTCTTTTTTTGTCATAATTATTTTTTATCTATCCCTCCCCCAAATATATGATCTCCATAAGAGCAGGGACTTTCTTAGTCTAAATCGTTCACTCTATCTAAATGAGCTCTTTAATAGTACCTGGCGTATAGTTTACCACATGGTTGTTGAGTGACTGTGAAACAGCTTAACAATTTTGGGCGATAAGCAGAACAGGTGGTAGTTTACACATTTTAACATATAAGAGATGAGATTTCCCATCTGTTTTTACTTAACCAGTGTTCACAAAACTCACAGATGGCAGAAGCGGGACTTGAACTCAAATTGTTACATGTTTCAGTTTCCATGTTGGGTAGTTGGGGGCAGGCCCAGACAGGGGAACAAATGACTTTTAGTTGGACATGCCCAGTGTGGCCCTTGGGAATGCTTTTCTATTTCAGATTGCAGTAGGGGAGTTGAAAAAAAAGTTTGAAGAGAAGATTTTGTCGTGGGCCACTTAGGTATGTGCTGAGGGATCGTTGAATCAGCCCGGAAAGGCCTCCCATGCTGGCGTTTTACCAAAAACCCTGTCCCTTGCTGCAGCGTGTATCCAGCCTGTGATAGGGTCTAGGGGAAGGAAGCACTCGGAGCCTTGGACAGGGTGATAGACTGTGCAGTTCTGGTATCTGCAGGCCCCTGTACGGAGCACAAGGAGGAAGTGCCGTGGCCCCTCGTTCCTGGAGCTTACAGTCTGATGGTAGAGGGGGGCCGATTACAGTCTGATGGTAGAGGGAGGCCACATACCAAAGAGTTCCTACAGAAGGCAGGATTTCATAGGTTATAACAAAAAAAGTTGGCAAGGGAAGTAGCCAGAAAAAGAGTACCAAAAGTAAGGAAATAAAACATACATGGAGAGTTTTTAGTGCTGTTTAACTGAGGAGGGTTGTGTTTTGTTTCGTTCAGGTGTTTGAGAAGGCTCCTTGATGGTAGTTTTATTTCCACAAGGATGGCAACTAGGAGAAATGAAGTTCAAGTGGGACGAGAGAATTAATTTCTCTATGTCTAAAGCACTGGAACAGAGCAGGCTACAAGGAAGAGTATGTGTTCTAGGGCTTATGGGTTTGTAGATCTGTGGGAGATGGGAGCGGAGGACCGACTGGATCTGATAGAAGTAAACATCAATCACTGAAGGAAATCTCAGTGCTTTGGCCTGTTTTGGCCTATTACATTGTATACAGCATGATTTCTGGCGGGCCTTTGCCTAAGTTGCACTTACTGATTTACAGAGGAAAACTCGGTGTGTGTGTGTGTGTGTGTGTGTGTGTGTGTGTGTGTGTGTGTGTGTGTGTGTGTGTGTACACACATGCACAAGCTTTAAAGCTCAGACTGAGGCAGTCGTTCAAATGTTGCCTTTGAGTTTTAGGAATAGATCGTTCTCTTGTATGGTTTTCAACATCAAAAACATAAAAAAAATATATGTGGTATAAAATCTATCTTCTCTTCTTATCCCCTAACTGCTTCATTCTTACGGAACCCATTTCTAAGTTCTTACTTCCTCTTTCAAAGAATTTTCATGCATATACCTGGGGACACACATACATATCTACACATAGACACCTCCCCGCTTTCCACAGAATTGAGAATGGTGGCGTGGCATATAGAGAGCACCTTTGAAATCTTTGTTCGAAAAAGAAGAGGTTTTATACTTGGTGTTTTCTAACGTTTGCTAGGAAAGATTTTGTTCTGTGAAGAAATGAGCAGTGTATAATGTTTTGCTTTTTTATGTGTTCTCTGTGTGTGTTTTGTTTGCGCTTTTCTTTTTTTTAGCTCCCTGTGCCGTCCGGAATCTCCAAGACTTGGCTCGCATTTATATCCGACGTACACTTCGAAATTTCATAAATGATGAGATACAGGCCAAGGGGATTCCTCAGAGGGCTCCACCCAAAAGGAAAAGAAAGAGGGTTAAACAGAGAATCAATACTTACGTATTTGTGGGTAATCAGCTTATCCCTCAGCCTCTAGACAGTGAGGAGGATGAGAAAATGGAGGAGAATAACAAAGAAGAGGACGAGAAAGATCACAGCGATGCCATGAAGCCAGAGGAACCACCTCAGAATTTACTGAGAGAAAAAATCATGAAACTCCCTCTCCCTGAATCTTTAAAGGCTTACTTGACATATTTTAGAGAAAAATAACTTAGATCAAGAAGAAAGAATGCCTACTGATAATTCCTTTAGTCTTGAAAATGTAGCATTTGTTAGGAGTTAAAAGAGAGCGAATTCTTTCAACAGAGCGAACTATAGTGGAAAAGGTATAACTTGTTTCTGTCTTAGTAATAAAAATGATGTATTCAGTAATTAAAAAGAATCCCTTTTTATAAAATATATTTTTCTTTAAATCTTGGAAAAAAGGCTGTTTTAACTCAGAGTGACTTCAAGAGTGGAATACAACAATACTCAAGATTTGTATACCGTAAATCCTTTTCTGATTCCTGACAGATTTGTAGTGCTGAGGCTTACATTTCATTTCATAGAAGGTTACATAATTGTTAAGCATATACTGGTTTTTGAACAGCAGTTGTTTTCCTTTCCTCTATGAAAACCTTCTGAGCGAATTAGGAAATCAAACGCTGTGTAGACCCACTCACCTTACTTTGGTTGCAGTCACTATTGTTGAGTTGCTGTAGTATCCCGGGCAATCTATGAGTGCAATAACAATACAGATGTTGAATAATTTAGCTTTAAAAAAAAGTTTCGTGGAGTTCAGTGGCACTGCTACTTTTGCTTTTGAATCTATTGCCAAAAGACTTGGGAAAATATCTGCTTCTCTCCTAGAGATTTTAAGAGCACATCAAGTGAATATTAAATAAAAAGTATATACTCAATACAGTTCTTGATTTGTATGGACCCTTTACATTTTCAGTATTTAAAAACAATGAGGTTATCCTACTCTCTGGAGTTTTAGAAGATAGTATGTGTAGGATGGGTTTTTCTCTTGTCCACTGTATAAAGTGTTCGGTTTAAAAAAAAAAATCCACTGTTGTGTATGACTGTCGATACGACAGACAGGTAGGGAGTAAGCTTGAGTAATGGGCCCTTTCTTGGGTTGCTCTCAGAAGCAGGTGCACTTTAGCAAATGGAACTTCTGGTTCATTTGAATCTTTGTCTTTGACAAGGTAGGACTGAGCTAGCCTCGGAAAGAAACTCATCTTTGTCGTGTAGGAGATGTTCACAGGAATTGTATGTAGATGCCTCTTGTTTTGAAAATCCAGTTCAGAATCATAGTGTAATCTTTGGGACCTATGTTGTGCTCATTTAACTTTCTCACGGTGTGTGGGTTGTTTGTTGTTGTTGTTGTTGTTTTTGGTGAAGTTCTAATGATCACTTTTTTCTGAATATCACACACAAACTATCCATCATTTGAATATTAATTATAGCTTATCAGCGATACAACAGTAAATGCCATTTTTGATCCTTTTCTTCCCACTAGGGCCTGAAAATAGTCATTCCTTGTTAAGAAAGTACACAATGGAACATACTTATTACTTCATGTAACATGGATTATGTATTTTTTAAAAGGAAGAATCTGAGTGTATCACTTATTACCACCAGCATCCCTGTTCCCCGTAGTTGATCAACTATGTTTAAGGAAACCCAACTGATACATAGTAAAAGCATTGTTATTATCTCTTTTCAAAGATTCAACTATTAGTAATACGTAGTTGGTTTAAAAAATCTCAGCTCTGGTAATTCTACACATTTAAAAATGAGCATTTGAAATATTCTAAGTATGAATTATCTCAAGTAAATGAGGGTATTTTAGTAATGGGAAAGATAATTTCATGGAAGGTGTTTGTTTTATACCAGTGACTATAGGGCTAGGTGATAGGGGTTGGGGGGTTGGGTGTTATCTCCACAATTTTTTTCTTTTTTTAGATGATTGCTAAGCTGTTACTGTTAAGAAATGTCCCATCTCATTTCTATCAAGGAAAAAAAAATAGTTGATACAATTGTCATCTGTTAGGAATGGTCACTTTATTTTAAATTAAATGTTAGTTTTAGAAGTTTAGTATTGTTCCTGGTGCCCACCTGTTTTTATCCAGCACCACCCCCCCACCCCGGCCGCCCTCTCCATACTCTGTCGGTTTTGGAGCTCATGTCCAGATAGTAAACATACATATTCTTAAATGATGATTTGACTACTCAGAAGAGAGTTTTTGTTAAGGATATATTTGAAGATTGACTTGCTCACATGGTCTTTTACTCTGGACCTTGGCAAAGTATACAGTAGGTTTTCGTTGCCATTACATATTTTTGTCATTGAAATGTATCTTTTGTGTTTTTAAATGCATCCATTTTACAGTTGTGACTTTATTATTGACTTTAAATAAAGAAGTAGAAATAAATGAAAATTAAAGTGAAAGCCCTTTTATTAATGGGAATATATTAGAAGGATCAAGAATATTTTGGGTTCGTGTGTATTTTTTAATGAATTCATGGTTACTTGAGTGTGAATAATTACGCTTTATAGGTGGAAAAAGTAGCAAAGAAAGGCAAAATTAAATGAAGATGATGAGGACTATAGTCATGGGATTTTAACAGCCAGATAAAACAGTGGAAGTAATCTAGTCTTTTCTTTCGTAGAGAGGAGGGCTAGGGAGAGCACAAGTCTCCGAAGTCAGACAGCTAGATGGAGAGGACTTTAAATAGCATCCAGCACCTGATAAACCTCAAGACATAACGACCAAGAAGACAGTTTAAGTCTACACTTCTTACTAGTTGATACATTTGGTTCTAGTCCTAATAAACAAAAATGTCATTAAAACAGCATGCGTCACGGTTAAAACACCAAAAAGGTTAAGTATTGGTTTCTAGCTGTTTGAGAGGACAAAAGTGAAGCAAAGCCTGTTCAATCATGGGAAGACTCGGAACGTTATTTTAAATAAGCAGTTGCATATAATTCAGTTTTGTTCTCTAGTAGCCTGGCATTTTCTTCCTAATTTAGGAAATCTCTATACCAATGGATATATGCTTGAATTGTTGTATACGGTTCATTGTCTGTATTTGAACATCTCATTTCCTTTGGAGTGTTGCCACCTTTGAAGACAGTGTAGGCTTTTTTTTTAAATTTTATAAAGTATTAGGTATATATGAAGGATATTTAGAAGATATACGCAAAACACAAGGAATAATAATTCAGCGTACATGTAAGTACACGGGTGTACCTACTACTGGGTTTGACTACTGGCGTCACCGTGACCTGGGTGCCCTTCGCAGTGTCCTCTTTATTCCCCTGGGGGGGTATTCCTTTTGTGTCAGTCCCCACCTTGCTCTTTGCTATAGCGTTACCACATATGTTCGTGTCTCTGAACAGTGTATCACTTGGCCTCCTACTTGGCCTCATACATACTGAACTTCACAAGTGGAGCTCTACTCTTGTTCTGCAGGTGGCTGTCTCAGTCCACACTGCCTCTCTGAGATCGATCCATTTTGTATGCAGCTGAGTCAGCACCCGCAAACTCAGTCTATTTGCTCATTCTGCCGTCCATGGACATTCGTTGTCACGTCAGCTGGTTTGGTCGGCAGCATTCTTCAGCATGTCTTGCGACCATACGCGTGCAGGAGCCTTCACAGAGTTCACACCTGGGAGTAGAATTGCTGGAGCATAGAGCATGTTTACATTCACCTTCACTAGATGGCGCAACATAGCCGAACAGCGTGTGCCTTCCTGCCACGTTCTCATGTTCCAGCTCTTCCGGGACCTCGCCTGCGTCTGATGGCGATCTGTGCGTGTTTAGCAGTGTGAAGTGTTACAGAGGCTTTGTTACTGGTTATGGAGGTTTTGTACCTTTCTGAGTGTTTCTTGGTCTTAGGTTTCCTTTCTGTAAAGCTTCTATTCAAGTCTTTTGGAAATGACTTAAAGAAACTGGCTTTCAGGGTTCCTTATGTCTTCTGGCTGTTAACCCATTGTCAGTTACACGCATTGCAAATCTCATTTGTCAGGTTGTGGTTTCTGTTCTCATTCTGTTTGTGGTGTCTTTAGTGAATTAAAATTTTCAATTAAAAAAATGAAAAGTTTGTTTTGAGAAAGTCGTGTGTGTGCGTGCACGCACAAGTGGAGGAGGGGCAGGCAGAAGAAGAGACAGAATCCTGAGCAGGCTCCTGCACCATCAGCGCAGAGCCCAGAGCCCGATGCCAGGCCTTGAACTCACAAACCATGAGATCATGACCTGAGCCAAGGTCAAGGATCGGGCGCTTAACTGACTGCACCACCCAGGCGCCCCTGTCCCCCATTTTTTTTTAAGAGTGGGTACAAGTAGGGGAGGGGCGGAGGGTGAGGGAGGAGAATCTTAAGCAGCCGCCATGCCCAGAGTGGAGCTGGATGTGAGGCTCAATCTCGTGGCCGTGAGATCATGACCTGAATCGAAATCAAGAGTGGACGCTCAACTGACTGAGCCACACCGGCACCCCCACGTTTTCCATTTTCATCGTGCGAGATTCACCTTCACACAGCCTCGGTCCAGGATCATGAAAACACTAGCCTGTATTTTCTCACAAAAGGTCTGTGATTTTTGTCTTTCACGTTTAAGTCTGTAGTACACTTGCTACTGATACTTGCATAAAGCGAGAAATAGTTCTTTTTTTTTTACATAGTCGATCAACTGTTTCAACACCATTTTTTGACAAGTCCTATTTTCCTCCTCTGATCTGCAGTTTCAACTATTATCAGTTAAGTTTTCATATGTTTGTGCTTTGTGTCCAGATTTTCTTTTCTGTTTTCTTAGTCATTTATGGATTCCTGTGCTAAAATTGCACAGTCTTACTACAGATTTACAACAATTCTTGATCTAGTGAGGTAAGTCCTTTCCACTTAAATTTCAGGAATATCTTGGCCAATCTTGGACCTTTTGACTTTGATAACCATTTTAGAGCCAGCGTCTCAGATTACATGCACACAGTCTTTTTGGGATTTCCTTTGGAATCACACTGAATTTATAGATCAATTTATGTGAGAGGTAACATGTTTATGATAACGGAGTCCTCCGATCCATAAATATGGTACTTCTTTTTTTTACATCTTCAGATTTTATGTGTACATGTTTTTATATTTTTCAATACTGTTGTAATGTTTATTAAAATTATGTTTGCTCTGTATTGGTTTTTGTACATTACTTAAAACACTGTTGTGATTGTTCTAAATTTTCTACATAGATAACCAAATCGTGTTTATAGAGACAGTTTGTTTTTCCCTTTGGATTTTGTTTTGTTTGGTTTTGTTTTTGTTTGCATATATGCTAGTTGGGGGCTCCTGTAGTGTTGAATAGAAGCAATGAACAAGAGCAGCCTTGTTTCTTATTTTATTGCCCATATAAAGTCATTTAAAAAAATTTTTTTAAGTTTATTTTAGAGCATGAATGGGGGAGGGGTAGAGGGAGAGGGAGACACAGAATCCGAAGCAGCTCCAGGCTCCGAGCTGTCGGCACAGAGCCTGATGCAGGGCTGGAACTCACAAGCTTGGAGATCATGACCTGAACCAAAGTCGGACTCTTAACTGACTGAGCTACCCAGGTGCCCCAATGTCATTTTAAATAAATGGCATGGTGTGCTTAGAATACATCTTGTGTTGTTCAGTATAGTGTTCTGTAAATGTCATTTGAGTCAAATTTTTGACTGTATTCAAATCTAATACAGTCTATGTAAACATTTTTTCTGTGCTTTTGTGATTTTCAGCAAAATCTCTCACTTTGATGGTAGAATGTCCGTTCGTTGTAGTTCTTTCCATTTTTGCTTTGTATGTTTTGATGCGATGACACTACACTTTAGGTTTGCTATGTCCGTTTGGCGATTTGAACCTTTAATGGTATGTGGGAACCCTTTTTATATTTTTATATTCTTCAAAGTCCATTTGGTTTGATTCTTATGTAGCATTTAAAATTTTTACTTTCAATGTCTTCTATATCCTTATTTTTGCGATGTTTCTTATTAACATATAGCTGAATCTCTTAAAAAATTAGAGTTTGAATTTTACTTAAAGCAATCCATCCATTTACATTCATTTTAAATATTAGTACCGAGTATTTTGTGCTATACACCTTTTTCAATATTTTTGTTCTCTCCTCTTTTTAAAGGATAATTGTTTTCTCTTAGTTTTTGTCCATTCCTGTTTATGTGTGCTCCTTCCCCGCCCCCCCCCCCCCGCCCCGCTCAATATTTTAAAACACTCACCTAATTTATCAAAGTCTGAAGTTACCCTATCTTCCTAAGTGAGGCAAGGCACGTAGGACACCTCAGCTCTGAAGTCATCACTTCAAAATTAATAGACTAACATATTGTATGTATTATTTCTAAATATGTAAGCCCCTAAAGTATGCCATTAGCTTTACTCCCACATTTGCACTGTTTTGTTTTCTGCTCATTATACCTTCTTTGGTCTTAGGTCATTACAATTTTCTTTTGCTTAAAATACATCTTTAATTTTTTTTTTTTTTTTTTTTTTTTTTT